TCAATTATTTTATAATGTCAGTTTAGAAATATATTTCACTTTCTTGATAATATTGATTAAACTTATCTTGCAGCAATCTTGATACAACTTACAAATATTTGAGGTTTTTTATTATTTTTACTCAGATTTTTGCTTTTTCGTTCAGATCAATAGTCAATAAGTAATTGAGAGAAAAAAAATCAAACTAATGAAGATGGGTTAAAAATATCCGCCTTAAAACACTGAATTCAGGAACATTGGAAATTGTAAAAATCTCTTTAAGTTTTCACAAATTGTAAACAAAACCCTGTTTTTTGAAGATGATTTTCCAAGATAAAAAAAAATGTCTTTTAATCCTTAAATCAAATAATTTTTCAGAATTTGAGACGCATCTTTTAATAATAATTAAAAAGTCAACCTCCCTAATTATTTAAGTTCTTTATGTTCGTTAATTTCTGGTGTGAGGTTTTTCAATTGTTTGCTTCAAAGAATAGTTTATTTTCTAATTTGACATTCTCGATGAAATAGTTTCACCCTTACTCACACAAAAAAATAGAACTTTTTAGTTTTACGGTTTGGCCGGCTGTAATCTGTAGTCGCCATTTTTAATCGTTCTCTAGCCTTCACGGATTTTTCTGTTTAAACTGGCACATTTTTTCAGTACATCTTTCTGTTCAGGGACTCTCTGATGGCTGGACTAATTGTTGCCGGATATGACGCAGTCAATGGAGGACAGGTATTATATTATTTTATCTAATTTTACAGTTTAAACCAATATGCGGGTGAAAATTTGCTGATCTATAATTTTCCCAGTCACTTCTTGTCATGAAAGGCATAATTTTCTACATTTTGTTTGGAATTTTAGCGCAGAGAGCAAAAAATGGTTTTCACAAAATTAGAGATAATAAATGATTTATTTGATCCCCCGGACGCCAATTCTTTGAAATAAATACTGCTGTATTGTTTCCAAATCGTAATTTTCTTTTCTCATTCTTTCTTTTAGTTTGAAATTTCTCTGTGAATCGTTACTGCACAAGACTTAAAAATACACTTACGGCCTTACCTCTTGAACAACAAAATGTATTTGAAACAAGTTTTGGCAAGTTTATCTTCTTCACTGGTGCACTCTTCGCCACGTTAAAGTATGACAGCTATCCGAACAAATTAGAAAAGTCTTTAAGTTCTGAACATTTATGCTTGAGATAAATCATGTCAATTACAAAGTATTAAATAGTTTTACATCAGTCAGTTTGTTATTATATTTGTAGTATCCATGAACCTAATTATCTACTTTCTATCTATCCATCTATATACTAGGTATGGTGTGTACCTGTAGGTGGTATGGTTGTCCATCAACCTGTATCTATCGGTGGATCTGGGTCAACTTACCTCTATGGACTTATGGATCACAAGTAAGCAAGCTTTAGGAGAAAGATAAAAACAATATGTTTCAATGATGAAGAAACTGCTATTATTATTATGATAGAAAAAGAAATGTTTGTAAACGGTAACGAATACATCCCCTTTGTAACAAAAATCGCAAACTTATATGTATTTGGGAATTTAATGATATTTCTAGTTATCAAGTTCAGGACCCTTTTTTTGGCGAGCAAAAACTCGTGGATTAATTGATTTAAAATTTGATTGATTGTTTGTTTGTACTGGTATAACCTGGAATATTGATTGATTAAGACCTGGAATATTGATTGATTGTTTGTACAGGTATAGACCTGGAATATTGATTGTTTGTTTGTACAGGTATAGACCTGGAATGCCGCGTCAGGAATGCGAAGATCTTGTTCTTCAGGCAGTTACCCAGGTAAGACCGTTTTCTTAATCGTGAATTACCCGCCGCGGTATGTCTGACGGTGCAGTGAGAGTCTTAAATCGGTGGAATGGTAAAATACCATTTATCCAGTCTTTCAAATGTGATGTTTTATACACTACTGAATTTTCCAAAGATAAGCCTTATGCCTCACATTTTGAAGTGATTCCATTCTGTAAAAAAAATGGGTCCAGATTAGCTAAACTTCCGGTTCTTTCCTCAAAGATTGAAGAACTGTACAATAACATTAACATTTCTAATCAATTTTATTTAAAGGCGATTAGGCGTGATGGTTCCAGCGGCGGTTGTTGCAGAATGGCAATCATTACTAAGGTTGTTTACTTATATTATTTTATAAAATTATATTGTGTAATCCGGGTTCCAGTTTGGGTTCCCTTTATGGAGTGGATTGGATCAGGCACGCAACTAGACATTCAGCTGGAGGAGGGAGGGGGGTAGCAAAGTACAATTTTGTGCCCCCCTTCCCCCTCTAAACATTTCAAGGGGGGAGGGAGGGGGGCAAGAATAATGTGTATTATACTCAACCATGAAGACAACTTCCTTTCCAATTCAGGATATTTTTGGGGAAAAATTTTTTATTTAGGTGCATTCATTCAGTTTGAGGCAAAGGAATTGAGTCTTAGTAATAAACTCTGATTTTCTAATACCTACATTTTTTCCACCTGATGGTGTGGTTTGATATTTCAAACTTAGATTTTTTCATCTAACAGAATTCATAGTTTGAAATATCTAAGTTATATAGGATGGTGTGGAGAGGAAGCTATGGTTGAACCCTGAGCTACCAACTACATACTAACTTCAACCACCAGAATCAATTGTCCAAGAATAAACGATCCGTTGTTTTATATCTGAACATCGTAAAACTCCCATTTACTCCCCTAATTTATGTGATTATGGTTCTTAAACAAAATTAAACAAAATTAACTAATTTTTTTAAATCCGAAAAATAATTCAGAAAAGTTTAAAATGGAAAATATATCAAATATGGAAAATGTATTCTCTGGTCGGGAGATGAGTATACACGAGCTGGCTTTGGAGGGAGATTTCCAGGTTAGTAAACTTTAAAAACAAAAATTCGAGCGATCTGATTTTTTGAGACACTGCCAACTTTTGGTTGCAAAAATAAATTCTTTGCCTCAAATTTGTTTTATTATTAATGGATTTTCTGGTTTTCAAAATTTTCTGAATACGTTTCAAGACGAATCTTTTGATACCCAATACCCATTCTTCTGGTGGATTTTGAAGAAATTATTTTTTTTTTCGCTTGCGTTAGTAAATTTCCTTTTTTGCCTTAAGAAAGTCAAAAATGTTATCTCTTAAAGCACTGAAACCACTGTACCATGGCACTAATTCATCCTTATGTCCTATTTGTAAATATGTATTTAAATGAGTCAAGAGCTTTATTATATAGTTAAAGTTAGCCTGTTTGGTTATAAGAAAGTCAGTTTCCTTATTTTTCATTAAAATGGGGGGTCCTCGGTCCTTGATAATTTATCACCAAAGGTTGTAATTAGGCTGTGAAACAAAAGATCCAGTTAAAACCTGAGCTTGTGACTAAAACAGATGAATCTGGAAGAATCCCTCTCCATTGGGCAGTATCTAAAGGTGAACATCTAGAGAAAAGTAGTTCAACTTGGTTTGGCGAGTTTAAACTACTCTCGGCAGTTCAGCTATTCATTAATTCAAACATCAGCTTGGGTCCAATCGGCCAATTTCATGAATTTTCCTTTTAAAGGGGCTGTAAACGTAATTTCAAGTGACCCTCTATGTAAAGATGATAATGCTCTTTTTACAACGGTATCTTTAAACGCATTCTCTAAACATGTATAAATTAGATATGGTAATCTTACATCGTCTATAGGTTAGGTTAAAACAATTTCTGTGCCGAGCGCTGCGGCTAGGACAGGCTAGGGGGCCGAGTGCCGCGGCTAGGACAGGTCATGGGCCGGGCACTGCGGCCACAAGTTCATTTAGCAGCTGTAAAACCACGTGCTTAGTAGGTCGGATGTGTATAATAGCGGATTTGGCGTAGGTCAAAAGTGGAGGTTAGCGGATTTGCATAGGTCGAAAGAAATACCATGTTTATTTTCGTTTGCGGGTTCTCTGCGAAAGTGACTTACGCATTTCTTACTGATAAGAAGCAACGCGCGGTTTCAAGGGAATCGTTGTAAATGGGGCGTCGCATGGAATGTCACTTGAAATTACGTTTTCAGTCCCTTATAGTAGAAAAATGGTCAATTTTACCTCAATAATGTGAAGACATTCATTTTTTTCAAACTTAAAAAAAACTTTTATTATGTTACAACCAAAATGTGGAGGGGGGGGGGAGATTAATTGTAAATACCAAAACTTTTACCCTGTTAAACAGGACACAAGGAGATGGTTGGCTGGCTACTCGATCTAAACAAGGCATTAAACATTTTTAATATAGAAATAGTCACAGGGTTGAAATAAAACTGAAAGTAATGATCAAGATGGATATTAATTAAAATGCCATTAAAAAAAGTATTCTCGGGCGGCTTAAACTTTAACCGTCTTTCCTCCTAAACAGAACAGACAAAGAAATTCCGCGGGGTCCCTGAATCTTGATGCAGTCTGCAGTCTGCAAAGTAATCAAGAGTTATTATAAAAATGATTTTGCTTTATTTTTCTTCAAAATTCATTTCCCCTTTCCTCGTCCCCTTTTCAGCTCAAGGGGGGAGGGAAATACCGCTGTAATTTCATCTTTAAAATGGATTCTAAAATCATTTTCTATTATTTTATAATGTCAATTATTTTATAATGTCAATTATTTTATAATGTCAATTATTTTATAATGTCAATTATTTTATAATGTCAATTATTTTATAATGTCAATTATTTTATAATGTCTTTTTTTAAATAGCTGGATATGAGCTTCAATGGGGAATTGGGTAGGATGGTTGATGTTGTGCTCCTAGAGTTTTTTAGGTCAATTAAAAGTCGTAGAATATTTAAAATGACACTAGGGATATAAAAATTATTCTAGGGATATAAAATGATTCTAGATTAAGCAAAAAAGTTCTAGGTATAAAAAAATGATTCTAGGAATAAAATAAATTGCAGAGATATAATAATGACTCAAGGGACATAAGTCATTCTTTGAATATCAATATAACTCTAGGGATATATAAGTAATTCTAGGAATAGAAAAATTATTTTATTGATATTAAAGGATTCTAGGGATATAAAAATTATTCTAGGAATATAAATATAATTCTAAGAATATAAAAATTAGTCCAGTGATATAGGTATAATTTTAGGGATATGATATAAAAGGATTCTATTGATATAAATATAACTCTAGGGATATGAAAAGATCCTAGGAATATAAAAGGATTCTAGGAATATAAAAATGATTCGAGGGATTTAAAAATGTTTGATGCAAGGATGCTAACCCTGCAGATGATTCTAAGTGGACCCCGCTAATTATTGCCGCATCTGCCGGTCATGTTGACGTAGCAAGGATGTTGATTGGTGAGTCAGGGGTGTATATTTTCTCGAAAAATAATCATGCCCCCCATTTGAAAATAAATTTTTCCCAACAAGTCGTATGCTTTTGCAAAAAAAAATAAAGGTTTTCATCGCTAAGTGAAGGAAAATAAATGATTTTTTTGCATAAAGAATGAAAAAGCATTTTGAAAAAACCTATTTTTTTATGTCCAATTTTTCATATTTTCCCCCAAATCATCATACATTCCTTCCTGAATTCTGAATTTTTACTGGGTCAATTTCGATTTAAAGGTAAAAAAAAAGATTTAACTAAAGGCTAGTTACAGTGGTTTACAGAATTTTTGTGTTGTAAAGTATGCAGACCTACAGATTAATATTCCGTGGTCGTCATAACCTGCAGGGATAACTTTAATGTAGGAACCAAGCATTTAACCTCTACAAAATATGTAATATAAATAATGCCCATGTGAAAAATTTTGGAATAAATGACCTAAACATGATGACGTGAACTCCCCACAAAACTGACTAAAATAACTATCACCTTTAAGAGTGCCCACATTGAATATCGAGATCAAGCATATACATACACTATCGACACAAAAGTTCCGACCCCTGAATAGTTTTGAATTAATATAAAAAGCGGAACAAATATCTAAGACTACACTTCTTCATTCTTACGGCTATCTATATAATAAAGCTCTTTACTCATCTATATATATTTGTATTTATTTTAGCTATTTTTTATTTCACGGGCAACGCCAGGTACTTCAAAATCCAAGAGGCAAAATGTCGACCAAAACCCTGAAAAGCATCCTTGAAAATTTAAGAAATTTGGTTAGGGGAGTTAGGGTTAAAGAAATCAAAAGCATTTTCAGAAATTACCATGAGTTGGAATCGTATTCATATTTAACAGGACTTATCCAAGATCCGCAATTCAATTAGAGTGATAAGGATTTTAAACGCAGATTATTTGTAAGGGGGGGGGTGTTGATGTTTTTGAAAATATAATTTCCTTTATTATGTTCAGACAACGGAGCAGATGTTTCCGCTGTCACGGACCAGGGCAGATCTGCTCTGTTGTACGCTGCCAGTAAAAACAGGTTAGAACCAGTTTTGACCAGTTATATACCAGTTATATGCCAGTTATATGCCAGTTATATACCAGTTTTATACCAGTTTTGTCCCTGTTTTGTTCTGGTTTTGTTTAATTATTTACCAGCTTTGTCCAGTTTTATACCATTTCTTTCCAGTCTTATACAAGTTGTATCCAGTTATTAACCAGTTCTTTCTGTCTAATCTTATACTAGTTTTATCCAGTTATATACCAGTTCTGGTGAAAAAATATTGAAAATTGTCCATTTTGATATGGTATTTCGATGAATTATTTTTCCTCATAAGCATGTGATTTTATACATAAAATAAGCAATATTTTTCCTACTGTGTGCAGTCAATACGCATTAATTGCTAAACATCAACACATTCAATGTTTAATTTACATCCAGGGATGAGATGGTGAGGCTATTATTATCTTCTGGTGCTGATATTAATAAACAGGATGCCCTCGGCGCATCACCTCTACACAGGTAATCACTGATCATCACTCATCTCACAAAATGACTGTTAAGTCAAATATTCTGGTATCCTGGCAATTCCAATACATTTCATTTTTGTAAAATTCTTCGAATTCAAGATTCTTTAAAATAAAACGTAAAAGAAAAAATTGTTCATCTCTGAAAAATCAAAAAAAAAATGGGGACACTTTTGTTTTTCTTTCCTTTAAAAAGATCAAATTTGTCCAGGTAGGTTTAATTCAATCCGCTTGAAAGTCGCAGCGCCGTCCATTCTAGAATATGGATCCTAATAAATATATTTTAGAGTGGTGGATCCAGGGCATACTACTGTTGTTAAACTACTACTAGCTGCTAATAATATGGATCCTAATATATATATTTTAGAGTGGTGGATCCAGGGCATACTGCTGTTGTTAAACTACTACTAGCTGCTAATAATATGGATCCTAATATATATATTTTAGAGCTGTGGGTCCAGGACATACTGCTGTTGTTAAACTACTACTAGCTGCTAATAATATGGATCCTAATATATATATTTTAGTGCTGTGGGTCCAGGGCATACTGCTGTTGTTAAACTACTACTAGCTGCTAATAATATGGACCCTAATATATATATTTTAGAGCTGCGGTCCCTGGGCATACTACTGTTGTTAAACTACTACTAGCTGCTAATAATATGGATCCTAATATATATATTTTAGAGCTGTGTGTCCAGGGCATACTGCTGTTGTTAAACTACTTATGGATCCTAATATATATATTTTAGAGCTGCGGGTCCAGGGCATACTGCTGTTGTTAAACTACTGCTAGCTGCTAATAATATGGATCCTAATATTACAGACAGGTTAGCAATTTATTAAGAAAAATATTGATATCTAATGGCGATAAACAATTAATAAAAACATTTTTAGTGGTTTGTACACATTTTTACTTAATTTCTCCCCATTTTCTCTTACTGTTAACCCCATCCCTGCTGGGGTACTAAATCCCATGTTTGATGTCCAAATATGGCAAATGATACATCATTGTAAAGCTCTTGTGCTCTACTTTAAGAATCTGTAAAAACTGTAATTTTGTAAAAATTTTAATTGAAGTCATAACAAAATCGATGTCAAAGAATATAAATACAATTTCGGAGCAAATGCAATAAGTAAAAAAAAAATTTATTATAATTTAATCATTTAGTAAGTAGTAAAAAAATGGCGTTAAAATTAGCTTGATATCTTTATTATACAAAATAGTTGCAACCAATTAAAGCATGCGAGGTCAGGCCGAAAATTGCCCCAAGGCCAGAACTTTAGGAGGCTTTAACTCCAGATGTCAGAGGAGCCTGAAATTTTGGATTTAATGTTTTCTCATAATAAGCTATCTGTGTGCAAAATTTAAAGATAATCCATGATATTGATTTCCATGATCTCCAAAAACTGGCTGAGTTAATAAAGAATGACCCAAATTTTAAGTGATCTAAAATTATAATATTAGAGATCTGTGAAAGTTGAGATAGTTTTAATTTGTAACAAAAATGACTACACAACCTATTACCATGTTCATATATGCTATCTATATAATATAATAAAACAAGACATTCGTATATGTATTGTATATGTTGCATAAAGCCGGCCAAACGGCTGGACTGATTGGGCTGATTTTTTTTGTGGACACTCATGGGAGGCTGAGAGGCGTGAAAGGCTACAAAAAATTCGAATTTTTATTTCAAAATAGTTATTTATTCAAATTTTTTTCCTCAAATTATTTTCCAATTTTTTTTCAAAATTATTTTTTTTCACGGGCAACGCCGGGCCCTTCATCTAGTAAAGTATATAGATCAATGGCTACAAGTAGCAAACTATTATTCGTTTTGGTTCTTTTTTTGCAAATATTTTCTCTCGGGGTCAAAATTTGGCATTGCGTTATTAAAGTTATTACACTTTCTTCCAACGCATACTGTATTAATGTTTTTAAAATTTCTAAACATTTTCCTTTATTGCGTTATGCCATTTTGACCATGAGAGAAAAATTGTTGGTTTTTTTTCTTTAAATTTTTATGATAAAATTACTGAAAAGTTTAATAAAATCAAACTCTTACAGAATACAGTTTTGAAATGTTGGAAGTTTAAAAAACGAAGCAAAACGATTAATAACACTAGCTACAACAACAACAACATCAACGTATTGAGATCTGTATCCCGGTATTGTTAATAGGTACGGGAATACACCATTACACTATGCCTGTGAGGAAGAACGTCTTGAAGTTGCTAAGCTACTGATTCATGCAGGAGCTAGTGTCGAGGTCAGTTATTATTTTTATAAGAAATATCTGGTTTATGTTAAAAAAAATTGTCGATGAAAAAGTTGTCATGTTGTCAGCAAAATATTTCTCGGAAGTAAAAGACAAAGGGCAATGAAGATAGAAGTAGAACGAAGTAGTTTATATTTAATCTTTTTTTATGGTAAATAAACATATTGAGCGACATTGTACAAACCCGGCCATACTGTCTGCTCAGGAAAATTTATTGTTATTTTTTTTTTTTTTTTTTCTCTTTTTTGTAAAATCATTCCTGAACGATCATATTTTGGGACTGTTAAATGTGCTCAATGACCTCGTCTTAGTTTTGCTGCTCATTTGATCCGGAACCCACTTTAGTAAAAACATAATAATTTTTCTATCAATCAAAACCGAGGATTTAACTAATTATGTATATTTTTCTACATTTTATTTCAGATAGCATTCGAGTGCCGATTAATTGATTGAAGATTGATTTATTTAGGTTCAGAATAAGCAGGAACACACTCCTCTGCAGATGTGTGGACCCGGGTTTGCAAGATCATTTAAGAATTGATCTAATCCTCCGTTTCATTGATCAAATGGTCCTCAGCTTCATTGATCAATTAATCCAACATATCTGTATTAATGATGAATCTGACCGGTTGGTCCTCCAATTGATCTCAAATCAACCCTGTTTTTAAAATCGTCTGAATTTGTCAAATGAAAATACATCATTTTTACTTTTTAGTCATAATGGTTTTATTTTTTACTATTTATTAATAAAATCTATTAAATAAATAAAAAGCAATACAAATTTGATTTTATTTAAGATATCTTGTCTTTGGTTGATAGAATGGGATTAGTTTTCCATTAAGTATGATTTCTTGGGATGATAATGAATGCTTATATTCGAATTATGCTTCCTTAAATCAAAATGCTGGCATTAAATCAAATAGCATTTGATTCTATAAAGACTGATTCCCTGTATTGTAAATCGAACCGAGGGGGGGGGGGGGGTTCAGAGGGTAAATTTTAAGTTGTTAAAGATTTTTTCAGTTTAATTGATCCTAAGAATCAGCTTTTATATAATGCAGTTATGAACAGTTTAAAGCGGAATGTTTTTAGCTAATTTTCAAAATAATCGAAATAATGCTTAAATTTTATTATTATAATGGTCATAATATTTAAAAAACACTTAATTAGACTTAAGTTACAAATTTTTAGCGCGATGTTTTAATTTAATTAACTTTTAAGACGCTTTTCATTCTGCTTTTTTCTTTTATGACTATATATCAATACTATGCTATGTTGGATGTTTTACTCTTATATGTTTATATTCGATTTAAGATATAAATACCAACATGGTGAAGAAGATTACCTAAGGTAAAGGCCTAGTAATAAAATCATGTCTCATCCTTTGTGGGTAACCTTGTATCTTAACTTAACTGTTTTATCTATAAGACACTTAAGACTCAAGGTTATAAACCATTTCAGATCAATGTCGTGTTTTCCCGTTTTCAGGTTTGTCATACAAAATGTTATTTTGCCAATCAAAAATATTTTTAAACACATTTTTCATGTAATGAAGTATATCTCGTGATAAAGTGTGTCTTACAAATATTGAGTAATATTTATTGGTTTATTAGAAATGTTCCATGCAGGTGTTAGATGGTTTTATAATAATTCTTATCAAGATGTATCATGGCAAAGAGGATATACAAATTACAGAGCATAAATTCGAATTGAACATTCTCGTCTCAGCTGGTACCATTCATGGAAGGAAGCTTTCAAAGTTTCTAATTCTTATATTTTTGCAGCCTGATGTCGCTTTTGATATTTTAAACCCGGAATTTTATCTGTTAAAAATTTCACAGGCATAGACTATCATGTTACAAAATGGTAATTTGAAAATTGAGTTAGAGGAGTGTGATCAGCTCCGTTTTTCATACAGGGATAACCAGAAAACACTGGAATAGAAAGACGACAATTTAGTTATCTGTAAGTGATTTTTTATGTTACAAAGCAAATAGTTCTACTGAGCTGAAAACTTTAGAATGCGATATACTTAATCCCGATTGGTTAATTAATCTTGAAATTAAAAACAAGAGGAGAACAAGCATTATTTAATCTTGAGATTAAGAAAAAGAGTGGATCAAGCATTAATTTTGATATCCACCATTCTAAAGTTTTCAGCTCTGGGCAATTATGAAATCACTAATTTAGTGAAAGTTGCCCTGGACAATTGCTGTGTCTCATGCTCCTGCACACTACTCTTTAGTAATTGTAAATTGGCGGTACAGTTCAAAGTAGGACTACAAAGGTTGACCCAGCTCGGATTAAACAAGAGGAGAACAAGCATTATTTAATCTTGAGATTAAGAAAAAGAGTGGATCAAGCATTAATCCTGATATCCACCATTCTAAAGTTTTCAGCTCTGGGCAATTATGAAATCACTAATTTAGTGAAAGTTGCCCTGGACAATGCTGTGTCTCATGCTCCTGCAAACTACTCTTTAGTAATTGTAAATTGGCGGTACAGTTCAAAGTAGGACTACAAAGTCTGACCCAGCTCGGATATTCAACTGTACACCGGTGGGGCGTGCCTGGAGGTTATTAAAATTATAACTTTATTCTTAAATGAAATGATTTCTCTGAATTTGGAAACCATGCATGGAGTCTCTATAATAATATATCATCATTGATTTCTACATAGTTATACAATATTATACATTTTATCAATATAAACAAATCAGACCATTGTAACAGTCATATTCACATAGGTCTTTGTAAACCATCTTTATTATATATAACTTTATAACTTTATATTTTATTGTTGATCAACAAAGGTACTGTTATTTGTTAAAGGGAGAGACCGGCTATTTAACATATTTGAACTGTGAGTGCAGTATTAGGTTATGTTACTGCGGTCCTACAATACTTCCGTCCTATGATACTTCGGACCTACGACAGCTGTAGGCCGAATCTACATTCCATTTTACTAATCCGACCTACGTGCAGGAACTTCAGATCTTGTCAGTATGTAGTTGACCATAAGGTCCTGATGTTCCCGTTGCACACAATTTGTAGGTCGGACGCACACTTAGCTCGGATGAAAAAGTTGTAAAGGTTGGGTGAACACATTTCGTAGGCCGGATGAACACTTTTTGTATGTCGAATGTAAGGTTTGGGTAAGTCTGGGTCGAGCGCTGCGTCTAGGACAGGCTTGAGGGCTGAGCGCTGCGGCCACATTTATCAAATTAATAAAGTAATAGCGGATATGTGGGGATAGGTTAGGTTAAGACAATAATTCTGGGCCGAGTGCTGCGACTACTTAAATAATAACTGTTCATCAGACCTACGAAATGTGCGCGTTTTCCATACATATTCATTTGTCATCTGATCTATAAAAGTTGTCCATTCGACCTACAAAAGATATGCATCCGACCTACAAATGCAATGCATCCTATCTACAAAAGGTCTGCATCCAACCTACAGTTAAGTGAGCAACCGACTTGCAGTAGGTCGGATACACTAACTATTTTTTCAATTGAGTGTGTATCTGACATAAAGTTCATCGGACCAACAGCAGCTAAAAGCTGCTGAATAACCGAAGTGTCGCAGGACGGAATTAACGTTGGGTGGATGTAATACAATCGCAGTATTATAGAGAAAAAATCTTAGGCTTCATTTCTTACCTAGAAATAATACACCGTAAAAACGTCACAATGTTATCAAATGAATCTAAAAAATGTTCTCTAAAATACTGCACTTTCGGTTCAAAGATATTACCTAGCCGGTCTATCCCTTTAACATGTATAATATAAAAAGTCTCAAATAAGAATGATTATCTTTTCTAAAAACAAACTCGCACCTTCCTTAAACTAAGCACAAGAAGTATATTTTCCAGGATTTGGATTGTTTTAATGAAATATTTGTTAAAAAGATTAAGTCTTATAGAAACATTTATTATCAATAAAATAATCTAAAGCTTTGGAAAAAATGTTGAAGATATGTTTAATTTTTTTTTAAAAAAATTATCTTAGAAGCATGTCAAACAACGGAGATTCAGACAGCCCTAGCCAGAAGGGAAAAAAAGTGCATTTGAAAAAAATATTTAAAAATTGGGGAAGTTTTTAAATAGACCTTCTTTACAAATTTAACAATATTTATCACAACCTTCTTGGATTATTTAGAAATCTCAAAATTAAATGGTTTGAATAAAATCAAATCAACAAATGTTGAATCCACCGTTCAACTCAGCTATAAAGTACAGTGTATACCACAAATGACAGTTGGTAAATAGTTTTAAATGTCTTCTTTCCTAATTTGCGAAATTCATTGATACCAAACAGAAAGAAACAAAAATATGACACATGGGATTTTGGAAGTCATATTATAGTAAATTGATTTCAACGTAAAATATATTTGATCAAAAAATATTTTTAACGCAATAAACTGCAAAAAGTCTTTAATATTTAGTATAGTATTTGGAAGAAGACATTCAAAACTATTCACCATCTGTCATGTTTCGTCGGACACCCTATAGGTTTTAAAAACAAAGAAACCTAAGATTTCAAATTCTGAAAGTAGACTATGTCTAGACCTAGCATGTAGATTTTTAGAAATCCCCGTCGAGCCCTTTTTGAGAAAATTCCATTTAAACTTTGTTGTGTAGTTTAGACTGAAAAAAGGCGTTTGACTCAAAAGTTTTCGTGAGATTATTAGGAAACTTAGGAAAATTATTATAATCATATGATAAATTTATTAATGTAGAATTAAGAAAAAGAAAGAAATTTACCATATTAACAATGTTTTATCGGGTTTAAACCTCAAATGATACATTTTGATGTATAAATCTTGTTTTTCCACTATTCGTCCATACAAGTTATCTCATTTTTTTATATTGCAGATTCAACCGTCTTCATTGTTTTTTAAGCTTTCTGGATATCCACCAAAGTAATTTGCGAGCCCATGACCTATTCAAAAGATATTTTAATTATCAAAATGTAGATTTTAATCTTTTTTCCTTTTATTGACCATTAAACTGTTAAGGGCTCTGAGAGTAACATTGTATTTTTAAGTAATACTTTGTTTTCAATAAAGCTTCACCTGGTTAATGAGCTCTATGAAATTTAAACCCTTAACAAAAAATTTCAGTGTATTTCAGGTATTTCATAAAAAGAGTCTGAACCCTTTACATTTCAGCCTCTTTGGACAAATAGTGGAGAAAACTAGATTTATACATCAAAATATGATTCATTTTGAAACATTTGAGGTTTAAACCCTATGAATCATTGTGTATATGGTTAATTTCTTTCTATTTCTTAATTCTACACTGATAAATTTATCATATGATTATAATAATTATGCAGAAAAGCTCAAAACGTTTTTGGGTTTCCTAATATTCTCATGAAAAATTTTGAGTCAAACGCCTTTTTTCAGTCTAAACTACACAACAAAGTTTAAATGGAATTTTCTCAAAAAGGGCTAGACAGGGATTTTTTAAAATCTACATGCTAGGTCTAGACATAGTCTACTTTCAGAATCTAAAAACTTTATAGCTGAAGGTGAACGGTGGACCATCCATTTAAAGAGTGCCAAGTACGATTCACAATGGTTATACTCTATAACTCTCCTAACGTGTTGAATTCTGAAAATGTTTTCCATCGTTTCTGTGGAATAAATCTGTAAGTCACTGTTATACAGATTACAGAACCCCAATTCAAAATACTATATTTTAAGCTAAAGAAATTAGGATATTTCATTCATCCTTGATATGAAAACGGTTTAGAGGTTTTAAATTAATGGTCATTTGAAATAAAACATGTCCTTGGGATTGTGGGACTTTGTTTGTTTAGTCCCAAATTTGCTTTTTTGAGCCGTCCCCTCATCCCTATTTATATTTTTATCTAAGTAAAAAATCCTACTTTTTTGTTTGAACACTAGGGAGGGAGTTCTCTGCTGGGTTTATCTGCTGGAACAAAAACCCTATATCGATATAACAGAGTCCGAAGTCCTATCAAGGAATACTGGAGACAAGGTGACAAACTTTACCTTATCAATGTTGGAAAGGAATTAAATCTTAGCCACAAACTAAAATTTTCAAACATCATAAACTTCAGAGACTTTTTCTGTCATGTTCCCTTATTTAATTAAGATTAATATACACAGACGGAAGCGACTCTTTAATTTTTAAAAACCGGTTTTTGATTTTTTTGTACTATATCTAGATGATACTTCATTTTTATTTAAACATAAAGATATGCATATTTTAAAAAATAATTTAAGAAAAAAATATGAAGGTTGATCCTTTTTTTATAAACCATTTAAATACAGTGGATTGTTTTAAGTTAAATAGACTGTAAGCGTAATTTCAAGTGACCCTCCATGAAAAGATGTCAATGCCCAATTTACAACGGTACCCTTAAAACCTTTATTTGATCATTGTTGTTGGACTTATTCTCTTTAATATACAAAATATACGCGTTTAAAATTAGATTTAAGTTTGAACAATATTAATATTCCCTTTCTAGAAATAAATGGTTTCTTTCGAATTTTTATAAACCGTTTCTAAAGTAAAACTGTAACAAATAGCTCTCTCTAATTGTCAATGGTTAAAAGAATACCGTCGTTAATTGGACATTGTCATCTTTGCATGGAGGGTCACTTGAAATTCTGCTTCATTTACCCAATGTCCTGGCGATACAGTACAAACTGGGACTAGAAAGGTTGACCCGGCTCGAAAATTCAAATATACTACACAGACTCTTTATCTGCTTTCACAGGGTAGGCTACGTAGGCCTATAGCTGTACTGGCACGACATGCTACATTTACATCTGTAGTCTATTTACTTGACTTTTAAAAATAAAAATAACCTCGCTTATTTCCTAATTTCTTAGGACGTTTCCCTTCTTCAAAATTCGGATTTTATAAAGGAGAGAATTGTAATTGAAATAGATTGTGCTAGTTCAACTTCCTTTTTATGTCGCTAATATCTTAACAAAGCGAATAGATAAGTATAGAGTGGAATTAATCCGAAAATAAAACCGCCATTTTGTTGTAATGTTTCCATACTGCAGGCGTACTTCACCATGTTGGGCCTTGCAACATCTTTTTATAGAAAAAAATCTTTGTTCTGTGTTGTTCAGCGACTGCACCTGCAAATGCTGTGTTTTACTCACCTTATAGGACTCATCTTCTCGACTGTTTTCAAGTTCAATTATCTACTCCATTTTTAGTATTCTGTAGAAATCCGGTTTGAGAACTATGATAATACGATTTTATTGTTCTCAACAAATGATAAAACTGTATACAATATTCCATTAAATATATATATTAGTTCTTTTGCCACCTCATTCTAAATCGTGTTGTACCTAAATGATCGAGTAAGAATGTTCTTCTATTGCATTTTGTATTATAAATGTTCTGAAAAGATTGAGATCAATATTGCAATTTTGCTTTAAAAAATATCATTTTTTATGGCGCTTAAATATCAGATCACAATCAAATATTACTCCTGGTCCAGTCTTCTTCCACCTGCACAACATGTGTATCTGAACCAGTTAAAAAATAGTTCAGGTATCCGAACCTAGTTTAACTTTTTGTTTACGGTTGTTGTTTAGACTGGGCCGGAGAAGACTTGAATGAAATTGAGTTTCTGAAAAATACAATTCAATCTTTAGAACCAGCAATCATCACATTGCAAACTAATGGTAAATTTCAACATAAGTTTTACAATAATATTTTAATCCAAAAGTTAAAAAGTTCTTCAAATAAAGAAATGTTTCTCAATTATCATTAAAAAACTGTTTGACGTGCATAAAAAATAAAAAATACATATTTTCTGTAAAAAAATATTTATTTTCAAATAAGAAAACAGAAAATATTTTAGGAAGCTTGGAGAAACTAGAATCGTTGATTCTCCCAGAAGGAGGAAATTCTGATTATAAAATTCATTTCTGTCAGAGGTAAAATTTTTTCTATACTTTGGTGAAAATTTACTCCATGTTGGTTTTATTTTTTAATTTTTGTGATAGCTTTTGTATTTTTTTTATCTCATCCAGAATCGAGATTTTACTTTGAAGATCATTTTTTTAAAGAAATTAAACTCATATTTCCAGATTTATTTTGTCCAATTTGGCTTTTTTAAAGCTTTCTATTTTAGCCAAAATCCAGGAGAGCAAGCGAACTCCGGGATCATTTGGAATTCCAAGGTGTACAGGTAGTCATGGGCATAAAAGTTACTGTAGCCGTAATTTTAAGTGACCCTCCATGTTTATCTCTAAAAATGTGTTTTCAAATTGCCGTGAATCTGGAGTGTACGCTAGCGAACAGGTCACAGTAAGGGATGGGCAATAGCCAGATTCGTTTTATAGAAACATTAAATGTTTTTAGACTTTTAAAAGGTTTTACGACAATATGAGAAGGTTCCAACATTGTAAAACTTTATTCTGTAGAAGTTTTCTTTATAAAACATGCAAATTTATTACCCTAGAATAAAACATAAGACAAAAAAGAACGTTATAAAAAGATAGTTTTTGGGTTTTTTAAACGATAGTTTTTGTTTATTTTTGCCTTATATTTTCACCTAGGATAACAAATTTGCATGTTTGATAAAAGCAAACTTCTAGAGACTACAATTTTAAATCGTTGGACCCTCATCAGATTGTCGTAAAACCGTTTAAAAGTCTAAACATATTTAAAGTTTATGTGAAACGAATCTAGCTATTGCCTATAGCTATAGCCTCATGTGATTTCCAAAAATTCAATGTAAATAATTATTTTCTACAACTTCAGGAAAGTAAATATCAATATTTTTTAATATTTACCCCGGTTTTTTTACTATCTGTACAGAGTACATAACTTCTATATTTAGGTGTAGAGTAGTTTATGTAAAGGAGCTAATTAACTATTTCCTCTGCTAGCTGTACATAACTTCTATATTTAGATGTAGAGTAGTTTATGTACAGGAGCTAACTAAACTATTTCCTCTGCTAGCTGTACATAACTTCTATATTTAGGTGTAGAGTAGTTTATGTACAGGAGCTAACTAAACTATTTCCTCTGCTAGCTGTACATAACTTCTGTATGATTCATCTCTTCGGTCATGAGAATACACAGGTACTGCTCAGTGATCTAAATATTTACGAAACATTTATTCATCGATAATTGAGACCAAAGCATCTTTGCATGTATTCTAATCTATTCCATTTAGTTTATATTTTTTTTTTGAGTCTATGATATAAAGATTTAAGTACTTTAAAGCGCTTGTTTCTTGTTTTAATTAATTAGTAGTAATTAACAAAATTATAAATGATGGGGCTAGAATATTCATATTTTAGTATTGTATATATAGTGATTGTGGTCGTGGTCCTTATGACTGTTTAATTTGTGATTGGATAGTGTAGGCACTTGGCAGGTGTAAAAGGATATAGTCTAATTGATTATGTAAAAGATACCTTAATTCTTTTTATAAAAACTGCTAGCCCTTTTTTGGGGTTAAAGATAGATTCTGTACACCCCAAAAAATATACAGCTTTAAAAAATCAGTAAAATAAAAAATTCCGCGAAATCCACAATATAGGAATTGAGCAGCATTGCCACAAACTCTGATTTTCTAATCTCTATTTCATCGCCACCCATAGTCGTAAACCTTATATGTTTGAAACTATGAATTCTGTTAAATTAAATAATCTAAATTTGAAATATTAAAGGTTTACACTATCAGGTTGCAAAGATAAAGAATTGAAGAATTGAGTTTGTGGCAAAGTTTTAATTCCTTTAATATTGAATTGTCGAAACGTAAAAGTTACAATGTAAAGTTTTAAATTTTTAGATTTT